GAATTGTAGAATAGAAAACTAAATTATATGGAATTGACGTAAATTTTGACATTTGTCAGTGTTATCCCCATACATTTAATTTTCTACTCTCTCTGTAGACAAGCGCTAAAGTGGCGTTTGGCTAAAGGCACAGGTTCGATTTGATTTTTTAAATGTTTTATAGACTATTTATTGAGGAAGGCTACAAAGTATCAAGCTATCACCAGTAGGAGTCGAGCAGAGCAGAGAGTAGGAAGTGTACAAAGCTATAAAGCATAGCTAGCTACAAAGACTATTCGTTTATGGTTTAGGGAACATAGAGTATAGTTCCCTAAGATCGGAAAAGGAGAATCCTCCAACCAGGCGAGGTGATCGTGCCTGGCGGGCTTTCTGTCCAACAGTTGTTCGTTGGGATTATCTATCCGTGTTAATTCGCATGTGCAATATAAGATTTTGTGACGTCATCCGTTGATTTGTTTTTCATCTATGGTCTATGTGGACTGTTATTTGACATGTGTCGCTACAATGGGTTAAGAGGACAAATAAATAATTATAATGATTGCCTAATTGAAGGTTAAAATTAAAAACTTTTATTATAACATTCCAAAAAATTTAACGATAGAAATATTGACAAATCCTTAATCTAATTTTAGTCTATTATTCCAATACAATCAATTTACCTCTATACCTACTTTTATATACCAACCTGGTAGTCTGTACATTTTAGTACTTCGCCATTATTTTAATATTTATTTAATTATAATCATTACTTATAATCATTCTACCACTCATAAACTATGCTGCTTGACTTTTGTGTTCTGTGGCCAGTGCTCACTATTTTATAGTGCTCACTCCATTCTGGTTAAGAAAAACCCAGGAAGGTTTTTTTTTCTAGATCTTTATCTTTCTTGTTTTGTTTGTTTAGATTCAGTTTTATAAATTTAGGACAAATGAATAATTGAATGAGGTGACACAGTCATTTATTCGAAAACTTTCCTACACCCACTTGCAGTTTTGCGTTGCATTACCGGCCTTGTTTTGCTATCTGAGATAAGATTGCAATTCGAGTACACCGTCTGCATACCTAATCACACGACGAAACACAACGCAAGCGTTGCTTCACGTCGGTTTTCTGCGAGGCCGTGGTATCACTTCGGTCGAGCCGGCCCATTCGTACCGAAGCATGGCTCTCCCACACTTAAAAATTGTGTGATAGTGATATTAGTAACTAAACTACGTGATTTAAAGAGAAATCTATGTAATTTAAAAACAATAAAGACTGACTGATTGTAATGACGTTTTCTTTATTTTTCCCTCAAAATATGAGCCTTGTAAGGAAGTTTCGGTTTCGGCTGAAATAGACACCGTTGCCGAAATTCGTTTTCGGTATCGGTTTCGGATGTAAAACTAGTTTCGGTAGGACACTACAATTTATACTTACTTTTATATACCAACCTGGTAGTCTGTACATTTTATGCGAATGTTCACCGTGTTCGTACTACCTGTACTTCGCCATTATTTTAATATTTATTTAATTATAATCATTACTTATAATCATTCTACCACTCATAAACTATGCTGCTTGACTTTTATGTTCTGTGGCCACTGGCAGGCAACTGTTTCGTTGTGGGTACGCGTCAAAGTAAACGAGAGTTCAGCACAGGTGTCAGTACATAGTATCTACCTGTCTAGTTCGACAGCCAAAAATATTTTATAACCCTCACTTAATTAAAAAAAGAGTAATTGTAGCATTTAAGTCCCATTTATAATTGTATTGTATATTGTGTTGTATTCACATAATATATTAGATAGATGAATACATTATTCTGGATCACAACTTTTCACACACATTCACACACACTTACACAAATTCTGCAGAATTTGTTTTATTTATACAATTTCCTATATATTTCTTTTCCCTATTGGAGGCCCTTTTGGCATGGGCACATTGATATTAATAATATAATTTTTATCGCCTTTTTATTATCACATTTTTTAATTTTAACTTCTGTTATTGGTGTATTTTACATACTGTTATTCTTTGTTGTTTTATTTATTCTATAGTGTATTAAGTTTATTATTATTTTGTATTATAATATATAACTATCTGTATTTCATTTTTTTATAATCTTTGTATTTGTGTGCCATCTTGCTAAATAAATGAATTTTCTTTCTTTCTTTCTTTCTTTCTTAAATTGTAATTAAGTGCTGATTGTGGACACCACAGTAAATATATCTAAGAGCAGCCTTTTAGGGAATCGCGCCCTCCTATAAACCCAAACTCATTTTCTAAAATAAATCATTTATATGTTTTTAATTATTTTCAAATCTATTCAGAGTACATACATGTCTATACAGTGTTTTATCTCTTGGAAAAAATATAACGTTTTTCATAGAAACATCTCCGATACAGTCATTTCTGATTTAAAGAATAGATATCTGTTATGTTACGTAAAATAATAATCTGTACAACTGAAAGGATCATGGGAGAGCATCATAGCTCGCCGGAGAACGGAGATCAGAGCCCACAAACACGGTAAAAAAATGTAATGATTCCTAAAGCGAACCAAACAATTACATAACTATGAAATATGCCACAGTTCGGACTAAAACTTCATAAGGATAAGAAATCCTAAAACATAGGATAACATCACACCTTTCAATATCCGAAATATCAAGTAGAGATCCATGCTATGAACTGAAAGTAATAACTTTTTTCCTAAAGCAAAAGTGCTCAATCCATACTGGTTAAGAAAAACTCAGGAAGGACTTTTTTTTCTAGATCTTTATCTTTCTTGTTTTGTTTGTTTAGATTCAGTTTTATAAATTTAGAACAGATGAATAATTAATGAGGTGACACAGTCATTTATTCGAAAACTTTCCTACACCCACTTGCAGTTTTGCGTTGCATTACCGGCCTTGTTTTGCTATCTGAGATAAGATTGCAATTCGAGTACACCGTCTGCATACCTAATGATTAGCTGTAGGTATGAATAAAATCGCATCATATTAAATGATTAGAAGATTTTTGGAACACATTCTCCGATAAGGAAATCTATTGATAATTATAATAATTCTAGTTGCTATATAGCATGTTCAAAACAACTTTATAAAATAAAGTCAAATTAGCCAGTAAGTGGAGTTGGTAGATGTTTGGAACTAATGGCCTTATTTCAGCTAGCTGTTGCCTGCGAATTCGTCTGCGTAGAATATGAATTTTAGGACAAAACTTTTTTATGACTCAATTTTCCAAAATAAACGTAACTTATGTTACTCCTTAGTACATTGGTATTAGCCATTTTCAAAGATTTGTCAATACAAACATACAGATAGACAGATAGACAAAAATTCTAAAAGATGTTATTTTGGTAAGTATACCGTAAGTATACCGTACTTCGGCCGATGCCGATTCGGAGTCGCGGAGAACCTAACGGGTAACCGGGGCTCCGGCTCGACGTGCAGGAGAAGGAACGGGGTGGTTTTTAGTCAGTAAGAGTCTGACACTCCCTCCCGCCTCACCCAGGCGGGAGCAGTCATTCGATGATTTTCCCCCCTTAAAAAAAAAAAAAAGTATACCGTACTTAGGTATATATAAATGCAGTTGTTTAAATATTACAACAGACCCTTCAATGTGATTTATCTATATACATAATTTATCTATGAACTGCCGGAATATATAATAGGCCCTTAATTCCCAAACTGCTGGACCAAATTAGAATATCTTTTTAGTCGTGTTCGTTACTATCAGGATACATTTTGTGAGCAAGAATAATTATGTCCGCGAGGCCAGATGACGAGTGTGTTTTATTCAGCTTGTGACTTGGAATAGGTAATTCACATGGACGTTGTTGGACGTCATGAGGCATCTAATCGCAAAATGGGGACTGCACGGTTGGTGCGCAGTCTGAGCAACCGGCTGCCGTGCAACGTGTCGCGGCTTCGATTCCCGCACGGAACAACACTTTGTGTGATCTACAAATTATTGTTTCTGGTCTGGGTGTCATTGTGTATGTGAACTTGTATGTTTGTAAACGCAACCACGACATAGGAGAAAATTCTAATGTGGGGGATATGTTTTAAAAAACAATCAAAATTAAAACGCTGTTCCGTTTATCGAACTGCCATTTAATTACAAAGACACTGAAATAACAACAACAATGTTAGATTGCAATATAGATAAATAAGTTTCAAGAGCCAAACGGTTTTGCAAATGCTCGACGCGCCACAGTCCTCTTCTCATTCACCACTGATGTCGTCGGTCATTTGGAGCCACAACTCATCTTTTAAAACCACCCTGTAAGAAATTTGTTACGCACATTTCCAAAACTTATTTAGAAAAATTATCTGGGACGCACTTATATCAAAAAAGATAAGATAAAACAAACTATGACGAATAAATTACGAATAATATATAATGCACTTGCGCATGGTATCGAAGATATAAAGATTAGCAATTGTACTGCAATTTTCACTCTGAAATATGGCACCAGTACAGACATTCGTGTTTTTCGATATTGCAACAAAACGTGAGGATAATGCGGATAATTGTGACGAAATAAAGGCTTTGTGCTTCTTAGCTGTGCCACGGCAGCAATATTTAGAGCCCAACAATATCAGAGCTCCAAATGATGGAAATCAAATTTATATGGAGTTTCCTAATAATGAAATCACGGTGGAAGATTTTAATACAATTAATAACTTTATAAACCAACAAGAAAAACCAGTATGTATAATGGCGCATAATGGTAATAGATTTGACTTCGGAATATTGAAGCGAAAATTCAATAGATTAAATGTGGATTTAGCGAGCGACGTCTTGGTTGCAGACACTATGTACGCATTTCACGATATACTTGAAAATAGAGCTCAAGGTGAGTCTATAAAACACATTTATGTAATTATGGCAAATTATTGTAACGATAACACATTTTGAATAGAACCGAGTGACTATGGTTATAATACAATACTATTATATGTATATTCTGCTAAAAAAAATATCGTCACAAATTCAATCAAATTGAATCGTTACTTGAGCCGTTTTTATGGGATACAGTAAACGAGCAGACGAAACACCTGATGGTAAGCAATCGGCGCCGCCCATGAACACCCGAAATACCAGAGGCGTCACAAGTGCTTTGCCGACCTTTTCGGGTCGATTTTATATGAGGCTGTGGGTGGTATCAGTCCGGGCAAGCCGGCCCATTTGTTCGGGGCTCTCCAACATTTGTTTACATATCGACAAGTTAATCACGACAGATAAGAATAATAACATCCACTCACCCATTTGCTTTTAAATAAAAATATAAATCATTTATTTGCGTAAACTTCGTTTCCCACATTTGCTTTCTTTTTGACATCCACATTAATGTCGTTATCCCTTTTTCCTTTTTTTTTTTTGAGTGGAGAAAATCATCCATTGACTTCTCTCACCTGGGTGAGGCGGGAGGGAGTATCAGACTCTTACTGACTAAAAACCATCCCGTTCCTACTCCTGCACGTCGAGCCGGAGCCCCGGCAACCCGTTAAGTCTTCCGCGGCTCCGTATCGGCAACAGCCCTATTGGGCCCTATCTGTGGTGGTTTGATGGTTCCTTGAGGCGCGTGCGAGTCTGGTTCAGGTCGGGTGGCGAGTCGCCCATGTTCGCCGTCCTCAGGCCCGTGCTTACGGTGGCCGGAGATCGTCTCGCGATATCCGACGCCCGGAGTGTCTCTCGCGACGGCTGGGGGGTAAGGAGGTTCGTTCCCGTACGCGTCCCGCCTCCTTCTTTGTTAGCATGACTGCTTCGCAAAAGGAGGAGACGGCATCCCAGACCACCTCGCTCCGTACCATGGTCTGAACCAGTCACCGTCGCCGATCACATCCCTGAGGACACGGCGGTGCTCAGCCCACGCAGGGGACACCGCCACTGTATGCTCCACCGTGTCCTCTGGGCGGTTCTCGCAGTGATGACACCCGGGCGTTTCCTCAAAGAGAGGACTTACCGCTGCAATAGCAGCGAGCCTAGCCCTCGCTACGACAGTCGTTGCTATTCCGCCATGAGATCGCGCCGTAGCTCATACCACCACGCATTTATCTGGCGCGGCAGCGGAGTTTCGCCCTTCGTGGTACCTTCGCCTCCAGATCCCACGGCGGTAATCCGGCCCACGACGGTAATCCGGCCCACGCCGGTTATTTGGAATGTCGCTATCCCTTCCCTAGAAATTAATCTTGTTTTTTTTCACTATAATTTCTTTATAGGAAATGCTGTTAGGAGGTTTTATTGGGAGCCTCATCCTCAACCAGCAAATGGATATAAACTTCACGACGTCTATACGAGAGTGGTAACTAATAACCCAGTGGAAATAGAACCACATCCTCCTCAAAACGATACTTATATGCTCTTCAGAATATCACACGCATTGGGACAAAGATTCTTAAACTGGGCTGACAACCCTAACAGGCAACGTCGTTTTGTACAAGTTCAACCTAATGGAATACAAATATAATACTTAAACTCGATGTCTACTCTAAACTTTATTCGGTACGTAATATTTATCATATCACAAAACAATACATTGATCATATGTATAACCAATATCATATCTCCTTGACAGTCAATTCTAATAAGATTTTGTTGAGAAATCTGCAAACAACAGCACGATATTGTAATGTTTACTCAGTATGTCTGATAATGTCTGGAATTGTCTCCAGTATTTGTAATGCACTCCTGCTCATGTATTGTTTTATTTGTTAAGACGATTACTTATATATTTCACTTCATATACGTAAGTATATTGGTGACATTGTAGCTCGATAGATTTTCTAAGATGACACTTAATTTTTGATAAGAAATTCCATTATTTTTTGTGGTGGCTAAAGCCAAGGCACACATTATATTATTTCCAAATTGCCATATTTTAGCTAGGGGTAAACTAAGATATTTTAATGTTGGTCGCGTAGACAGACGGTGATCGGTTTCTGGGTTTAAAGTAAGTTAAATCGTTTTTAATTGGCTTTATTTCAGACCGTAGTCCAGTTGATGACATCATGCCAACTGTAGAACCACAACCTATGGACAACGCTGACAGCCGCGTTATATTAACAGTAGTGTGTAGAAAAAAAGTAGTGTGCATTAGATGATAAAACACAATATGGTTTTTTATTTCAATTCCATGAATAAAAGGATATCAATCTAGACAAACGTATGAACCTACTTCTAGACGAAGAATTTAAAATGTTTTAAAAGAAAATTTTATGTATGTACTAGCAAAAGTTATCTAAAAAAACAACAAGGTAATTTTTATGATTAAAATCATCAGTTGTTAGGAAAATGTTGTCATAACTTTAGGTAGTATAATAAAAAGACAGAGAATTCAATAATATACCATTAAATCAATAATTAATCTTGTAAATTGCATTGCGAGGGCGGCGGGCACGCCTAAAGCCGATGCTGAGCGTTCCAGCATACGAACCAACGGTGGTAGTGAGTTCAGTCAGCGGGCTCCTCTCTGAGCAACCGAATAATGGTACAGCAGACCATAATTCTCCGCAATACGACCATACAAAAAACACCGAAACAATTATATTTGTTATTACTAGCTACTTCCGCTCGTATTCACTCGCTCAGTTCGACTCTTAATAATCGTAGCATGATGTGTTATAGCCCATAGCCTTTCGCGTTTAACGGACTATCCAACACAAAAATAATTATTCAAATCGGACCCGCAGTTCCGGAGATTAGCGCGTTTAAACAAAAAAGCATTTCAGCTTTATATAAGATAAAATAATATTTATATATTTCTTTATGTTGTGGTTTAATGGAGAAATTATTGCTAAATATTGGGTTGAAATTACATTGTCCATGTAATTTGTGGAATGTGGAATGTCGAAAGTTATAAGTAGGTTCTGATAGCTAGATCCAAAAACTTTTAGATTATGAATCTAATCACTCTTGACTGAGTGCCAAAAGCTCTACCTACACCTTAGAGAACAAATTAAAAACTTGATGTTTTTAAAGTTAACACAATTACTTTTAACAAATACCATAACTTAACATAACATCACACATAATAACATCACATTTTATCCCCAAAGTGGTAGGCAGAGGTGCACATTACGGCACTTAATGCCACTGTGTAATGTAATACCCACTTTTCACTATTTATGCTATGAATCCCATGTAATATTAATAATCGAACCCTAGACCATTTGCCCTGGAGAACCTAACGGTCGCGGAGAACCTAACGGGTAACCGGGGCTTCGGCTCGACGTGCAGGAGAAGGAACGGGGTGGTTTTTAGTCAGTAAGAGTCTGACACTCCCTCCCGCCTCACCCAGGCGGGAGCAGTCATTCGATGATTTTCCCCTCTTAAAACTAAGTAGAAAATAACATGTGTTTTAAATATAACAATGGTTTTTACTTAATTTGTTTATTAAATCTAAAATATTTTCTAATAACATACTCTCTCTCTCACACACACACACACACATGTTGTGAGCTAACACACTGAAATATTGCGTTAAATAAATTTTGCTCAACAATGTCGAGACAAAAAGGTCAATGAACTCGCATTGTGTGCTGATACAAAGAATCTAATTTTCAAATGTATTTTTAATATGACGTTTTAAACTCATTCATTTAGTTAAAATTATATGGTCCGTACTTAATGCTATTTAATATTAGGTTGTGTGTACATGAATTGAAGTTATACTTTTATATTATCTATCGTGAGATATACTAAATTAATTTAAAATCGCGGGTTATTCACGTAAATATACTGATAAAAGCTCTACTAGTTTCGAACCATAGAGGGGTCTTAAAATCGAGTCTTCCTCATGAGCAGCGTACGCCGAAACTAGTAAAGCTTTTCTCAGTATTTCCACGTGAGTATCCCGCGATTTTAGTTAATCGAATTTATATTTATTTATTGAAAATGTGAGATTGGTTATTTATTTAAATTGTTGGTATTCTACCTAAAATATACTA